CAGAGGCTGAGCGCGCTCCGGGCAGGAAAAAAAAGAATCGATGGGCCCTAGGAACAGTTCCCACAGGGGAACCTGCTCTATACCATGTGAAATTGAACGAGAATGAAAAGACTAAGGGAAAGTTGGGTACAAGTGCAAACCCTAGAAAGTTGTACCCCATATGTGCTACCCCACTATAGCCTACAGCAACTAAGTCGTATAAATATGACACAAATCAGACCATGGAACAACTCATTCGAGCCACGTGCGACGACCCAACCACCTGGGAACAGCAACTGCCTTTCATCGAGTTCGCGTACAACAACTCACCTTCCGCCACGACCCAACAGTCACTGTTTTACCTGAACTACAGACAAGACCCGACAGTACCCATGACCCCGCATCCCGACAACCCGGTGCCACGAGCACAACAGTTCGCCGAAATTTTACAAGCAGCACGGACGCGGGCAGTAGACGCAATTAAAAAAATCAAACATCATCGCTAAACGCAACGCCGACCGCCACCGCCGACCTATCACTTACCAACCCGACGACCTAGTTTTACTTGACACCCAGAACCTCCGCCTGCCCATCACCCCAGAACTTCGCCCCCAATACGGTGGACCATTCCGCATCAGCCACATGATTACACCCGTCACCGCCCACCTCCTCCTCCCCGCTGACTGGTACGTCAACCCGTCCTTCCACGTCAGCCTACTTTGCCCCTACATACCGTCCACAAGCCAACTGCCACGTAATCGCCCAGCCAGCATGACACGACCGCCGACCGAACCAATCATCACACCCGATGTACACGCGCTTTCGTAAGGAGGACCTCCTTAGGGGGGGGGGGTAGTGTAAGGAAAATTCCTTTTCCTTACTTCGCGTCCCTGCTCAGCGCGTACACTAGTGTAGCACCACACTCAGCACCGTTACCACTCGCAACCCTCGCATCGACAATCCTCCTGCCACCTTCGCACGTCGCACCCCGACCTCATAGCTCGGCGGGTAACCTGCGCTCCGGGCCTCCACCTCGACATTTTTCTAAACCTCGGTTCCAGGCCCGTCGCGCGTCACCTCCAGTTCATTACCGTTACCACTATAGTTTCGCTATACATTCTTCGCTCATACCTTCGCTCATTGTACTTTTGCTTCGATAGTGCAATTCTCGCTCGCTAACTCAATTGCACTCGTAACACTAAGAAAAAGTTTTTGTTTTATAGTTTGCACTTTCCTTTTTACTCTTTGTGTGCTGAACGAAGTACCGTTTTCGCGAATCACTCACTCTTCAGTGTTTTCTACCTTCCGTACCAACGCACGCAGCAGTGCCGCGTTTCGCGGGCAGAGTCAGCCACCTAGATTCCAATTTACCCGTTTGACCCTCGTCCCCCCGTGCATCCCCCATGCATGACTCAGAGGAACCAGCCAAACCTACTAGCCGTTGGGCCCTGTCGGTGCACGTGTAGTCGTGTCTCCTCCGCTCTTGTCGCTCCTGTTGCTTCCTCTGTCCTACACACTCTCTATTCTCCTCGTTTCTCGTCTCCTATCCCTTTCTCTACTTTTTCGCTCTTCCGCTCGTCTCTTATATGACGCACAACGCCTCGAACTCTAAGTCGTACGCCGCTGCTCTGCTATCATCCTCGCCGAGTCAACCTGGTGGGAAACGCTGGCGAAGAATCGGTGGTTCTGTGAAAGTTTAGAAGAAAGAAGAGGGGGTTGAACTAGCAAGAATGGGGATACAAATAGCAAACCCTAGAAGGGTTGTACTCGCTATGGAGCACCCCACTACAGGCTAGAGCATAATATTCTGACACACCCCCATAGCCAAAGTGGGGTGTAATCAGCAGAGCAAGCAAAGCAGTACAAGCTCAGGGTGGATCACAATGTCACCACACATTCTGAGCACAAGTACAAGAATCAACAGTTTAAAAGTTCACAATTATGAGCAAAGCTAGAGCTAATCACAGCGGACAAGTGAGGAGGAGGAGCTGTGGGGGAGAGAAGATGGGAGGCGACTGCTGACGCCGCAGACAAAGAGACGAGCTGCTGGCTCAGTGGCTACCAGAACAGCGCTCCGGACTACTGGAGTAACTGGCCCCGCGTCTAATAGTAGCGGCAGACGAGCAACAGACCCACGGGCGACTGGCGACTACCGGAGATTGTAGCCTCCGGACTGCTGCTGCTGCTGACGATAAGACATCTGCCTCCACTCAACCTCCCCCAACTGTCCCACACTCTCGGCACACGCCCACTGCTCAAACCCTAGCTCCACTCCCACGCACCCCCCTTAAACCCTAAACCCCAGTCTCCCACTCATCCACCCCCCTCAGCGACAGCTGCAGCACTGGGAGACGAAGGAGAAGGAGGAGCAAAGGGAGGAATGCACAACTGCCACCCCCATACTCACCACCCCCTACTCGCCACCCCCCAAACCCTAACACTGGCAGGGCGGGATGGCGGGTAGGGAGGTTACGGGGGAGGGGGGGGGGGGGGGGGACCGACGCGCGGCCTCCCAGGGCGCCAAAACAGGAGGCAGAAGGGGCGGCGCTCGCCCCCCTCCCCCAGGTAATCCCTCCCGTCGCCTGTCGAGGCGACCCTCGGGAGCCGCGACGGGCGACGGGAAAAGGGGGGGGGGGGGGGGGGGGGGGGGGGGGGCACGTGCCCTCGGTGCGCCGCGACGGGCGACGCAGCATGGCCGGGGCGAGGCTGGTCCTGGCGCAGCCCGTACGGGCCGCGCGCTGCCTGTACGAGCGGCGCGCAGGCCACGACGGGCGACGGGGGGCGACGCGCGGGTCCCCGTCGCCCGTCGCAACGCCTCCCGAGGGCAACGCGCCGAGGGACGGGGCAGAAGCCCGCCGCGCGCCTCGGGGCGTACAGCGGGCAGAGAACCGCCGCGCGCCTCGGGGCGCACGGCGGGCAGAAAACCGCCGCGCGCCTTGGGGCGCACGGCGGGAAGAAAAACTGCCGCACGCCACGGGGCGTGCGGCACAGAGAGTAGTAGTAGCAGTTGCAGCGGAAGCAACGAGGTGGTAAGCCCACCCACAGGATCGATCCAAGGGGATCGACCTGCTCTGATAGCATGTGAAAGTTTAGAAGAAAGAAGAGGGGGTTGAACTAGCAAGAATGGGGATACAAATAGCAAACCCAAGAAGGGTTGTACTCGCTATGGAGCACCCCACTACAGGCTAGAGCATAATATTCTGACAGGTTCACGACTTACCGCAGTGAAATTTTGCTGCTAGCAAGACAACGCAGCAACTATCGTATACAACACAGCACATATCGTGTTACCTACCATTCCGCACAGCGAGGCATAGGATGAGTCGTCCGAGTCCACTCGGCGATCTTAGCCAAGATACGAGCATGATCGAGTCCAGCACGCTCCGAGCCGACCGCCTTCCGATGGAAGGCAGGCGTAGTGGGAGTAGTAATGCGGGTATAAGAGCCACGTTAAAGCCAGAGCCAACCATCGCAAGCTATTTGCTCTACTACTTGTCCTGCTTCCTCTCACTCGCTAAAAAGCTACGCTCTAGCAGTACTTTACGATACTATCTCGGGTTACCCTAATTCCTCCGCCTGCTGATCCACCCGTGCAGCTTTCAACAATGGCTCCTGCTAAGCTTCTCTTCGCCGTCGTCGTCGCGCTTCAGGCCTCCGCGATCCTCGCGCAGACGTGCTCGTGTGCTGACTGCAAGACGGTGGCGCCTCCCTGCTACGCCAGCAGGTGAGCCTCTCACAAAACACACTCAAAATGACCAATTTTGCGATGCACTTGCAAGTGGTACGCGTGGACGACTACAGCTTCAAGACTCATCAAGGCATGCAGTGTCGCATGTTCCCCCTTTCCCCACACCCTTCCTGACCTCCCCCTTCCTCCCCTCTCCTTTTCCTCTCTCCTTTCCCCCCTCCCGTTTCCCCCCTCCCGTTTCCCCCCTCCCGTTCCCCCCTTCCCTCCTGCTGTGCCTGCTGGTGGTACGCGTGGATCAAGGATAGCTGCAGCTTCCACACCCATTGAAGCGTCCAGCCGTTGCTCCCCCATCCCCCATTCCCTGCCGTCTCCTCCCTTCCTCCCCTCCCCCTTCCCCTCGTCTGCTACTTCTGCAGGTGGTACGCATGGTGGATCAAGGACTACTGCAGCTTGCAGACCCTGTGGAACAGCGTGCAGTCTTCAAGCAACGTGCGCAGCAGCGTGCTGGCCGTGTGGGGCCCCGGCACATCCGGCGCCAGCAGCAGCTTCCAGGACTACGTGCTCATGGCGGCCAACAACCGCCGCAACCCCTCTTGCGTCAAGACGTACCTGCTGGACTGGATCAAGTGCAAGGCTGCGCCCACCGACTCGGCCTTTCAGTTTTACAACTCGGCGCTGGGCGTGGGGGTGAGCGGGGTGAAGGATGTGCGGTCGCTCAACACGTTTGTGACGGCGGTGATCAAGAAGATCGGCCAGACCGTCTTCAACATGCTCGTTGCCATGCTCAGGCAGCGCGGCCTGCAGGCTCAGGTCGTGATGGCGGGAGTGTGGTGCTAGATGAAGCGCATTCAATCATGATAAAACCAGGTGTGAAGTGGTTGGTGTTGAAGGTTTTGTGAAGTGGTTGCTGTTCCTGGGTGTTTAGGGGGTGAGGGTCCATATGAAGTGGCTGTTGTTAGGTTTCTAAGTTGCTTAAGCAGTGGTTGTCGTACCAGCAGGCTAGTGTGATGTAGGAAGGGAGTATATTTACAGGGGAGGAGAACCACCTGACTGTAGCTTGCTGGAAACATGCAAGGACCAATGATTTTTTTGCCATCATAAACAACAGCGGACTTTCCTTCCTCACTACGGTACTGTTTCCAAACGTTCAGACGCTTATTCGGCCCAATGTATGGACTGCACTACCGCCCTTATTCATTCATGCGGCTTGTGCCTCAAAGTAGTAGCACCGCCGAGGTGCTCCAGCAAAGCGAAAGCTGCAGCCACACCTCTCGCCCGTTCCCTTTCAATAGCACATTTCTTCTCGTGAACTCCACTACAACTTCACAATTCATCATCGCATCCCCAACTCGGTCGTCTGCGAAACGCACGAGTCCGTGGCCACGTCCCAGTTCCGCTCCACCATGAACTTCATGCCGTTGAGCCCCACCAGGTTGTACTCTGCATCATCACCATACACGTTCTGACCTGTTTGCGTCTCTCCGTACTCGTAGCTGCACTTATCAGCGTTCTCCTCCCCGTTGGCGTCGAACCAGCCGCTGCTGGCATTGGGATCCGTCGCCGCTTCCGCGATCTCGTGAGCGATCGTCGAAACCATCGCGTCCAGCCACGGCTTCCCGTTGGGCGAAGTCTGCTTCGCACCGCAGTTTCCGCGGCACAATCCGTGATGACCCACGAGGGAATACACGATAGACTTGGAGCCGAGGCGATCCATCGTGTGATACCCGCAGTACTCCGTGCAGAAGCCAGAGGCCTTGATGTTGGTGCTGGTGAGAAGCAGGTAGATGCCATTGGCGTCGTACAGGAACGGCTTTCCGGAGCCAATCTTGCTCTTGACAATTACGATTTGAAGGGGGTGACGAGATTAGTACGATTCTGGGTACGATTCTCGGAAGGAGGTGAGAGGGATGACGGTTTGTCGGCAAGCGAACGGGAGACAGGTACTAACGAAAGGAAGTCAACTACGGTGGAACGCAAGCGCACCTTTCCATGGAGTGTTGGCATTGAACTTCTTCCCTTGTTACCCTTTGTCGTAGATGACCTTCGCGAGCTTCACCTGAGAAAGGAAGGAATGGATTTTGGATGTAATTCCTTGAAATTCTCGTTTGAAACTCTAAATACATTTGTATCGAGCACTACAATAGCGCGTTCAAGGTTCGCCTTTGAATTGCTTTTCCGCCAAAACTGTCATTCGTAATTTGGAACATAAAACATGCATCCGAGCTACTGATTGCGGATGCCATGCCATGCTGGTCGTCTTGGAAGTGCCTTTTCACTCATGCCCAAGATTCAACATCTCAATGCAAAGGATGAAACGGCGTACCTCGGTGCTGACGGTGGGCGCGGACCCATCAGATGCCTGCGAGTAGTATTTTGAGTTGATCGCCCACCAGTTGCTCACTTTCGGATCCGCGGCTTCCCCTTGCGCTACGGCGCCTCCAACACTCAGCGAACGAATGAAATTCTCAATCACAGTCTGCGCGGATTGCTTTGGCCAGAAGTCGTAGTAGATTAAGTACACATTCAGCGTGTTGCCGCTCAGCACGGGACCACCCCAGTATTGGATGGGAGTGACGGACGACTCGTCCGACACGGCGCCTCCGTGTTTGCGGAGCTCCTCCATCGCGAAAATGGGACTTCCCACTATTCGCTCCAAGTGGGCCACACGCGATGCTGCTGCACGTCTTGCTGTGCGTCGACACCTCCCTTCCTCCGAGCGTGCGCACTTTAGTCAGTGCAAGACCGCTCAGGCCTTGTACGACGCTGTAGTTGCGCGCTACTCCTCCCCTTCCTCCGCTACGCTGAGCCGCCCGTACCTCTTCCCTGACCTCGCTGCCTTTCCCACAGTCGCTGACCTCTTTACCCACCTCCGCGCTAGTGACACTCGCTACCGCGCTGCGCTTCCTGCTGACTTCCGCGCCGCAAACCCTCCTCCCATGTACATCACTCTCTACTTTCTAGTCACCCGTCTCCATGAGTCCCTTCATGCTGTTAGAGACCAGTTTCTCTCTGTCTATCCCACCACCCTCACTGTCGACCTCCTTGAGAAGTCCCTGCTAGCGGCTGAGAAGAGTATAGTCGCTGTAGGGGCCTCTCGTGGTGACCCTCGCACCCCCATCTTTGAGGGGTGTTCTCCCTCCCCCCTACTGCCCTCTGTCGTCTCTGCTGCTGCGGCCAACCTCGTTGGTTTGGAGTCGGTCGGTGCTGCGTCTGCCCCCAGCGGTAGGCGCCGCTCTGGCAGGGGCAAGGGGGGCAAGGGAGCGGGTGGAGCTAGCGGGGGCGGTGGCGGAGGAGGTGGGGGCGGCGGGGGGAGTGGGGGTGGCGGTGGAGGTGGTGGCGGGAGTGGAGGTACTAGTGGCGGCAGTGGAGGCGGTGGTAGTAGCGGAGGTGGCGGTGGGAGCGGCGGGGGCGAGGGTGGCGGTGGCGGCGGTGGCGGCGGAGGCGGGGGTGGCGGTGGTGGAGGTGGCCAGAGTGGCACATCGCAGCGGAGCAGCACTGCGGGTGGTCAGCGCCAGCAGCAGCAGCAGCAGCAGCAGCGCTCTCGCAACATCCCCACCCCTCATCAGCTCCGTGAGTGGTACTCGCAGCGTCAGCGTGGTGGGGCGTTCGGCCCCTGCACCTACGTCCTTCGCACCAGCCACCGCGCGGGTGAGCAGTGTGGGGGCACCCACACCGCCCGCCGCTGCTTTGCCCGCTTGACCAACGCTTGGCGCCAGCAGTTTCCGGAGGCCTCTGAGATCCCCCGCTGGGGAGAGCTGTCTAGGGCTGGTGTAGCTATCTTTGATCTTGACTATGATGCTATCCTTGCTGCCATGTATGCTGTGACTGTTAGTGATGAGGGTGACTGTTACCGGTGTTTCCCGCCCGACCCGGGCATAGGTACTACTGCGTCAGGTGCCAGTGAGGCTGCTGCTCTAGGTGCCAGTGCGTCTGTGCTCTCAGGTACTAGTGAGTCTGCACTCTCTGGTACTGTATCGGCTTCGGCCTCCCACACCTTCACCCTTGACTGTGGGGCGTCTCGCTCCTTCTTTCGGGACCGCACCACTCTCACACCGCTTAGTCGGCCGGTTGCGGTGTCCCTGGCTGACCCCTCTGGGGGTCCTGTCCTGTCTCGTTCCTCCACAGTCCTCCCGTGTCCGGCGGCTCCCTCTGGCACCTTGACTGGTCTCTACCTCCCCTCGTTCTCTACGAACCTGGTGAGTGGTGCTGACCTACAGGATACGGGTATCCACCAGTTCACTCCTGCTCGTCAGCGGGTGACACACTGCACAGAGGCTAGCACAGGTCGCCACCTGGCTACGTTTGCACGTCAGCCAGGGTCGAGCCTGTACACACTGACCACTGCTTCTCCTCCAGGTGCTGAGTCAGGTCGGGTCTCTTTGTCTGGTCAGGTGTTTGCTGCAGCGTCCAGGTCTGGTCCTGAGTCTGCCCCTTGTTCGTGTCGCCGTCTGTCTCACGAGACCCTCCTCTGGCACCACCGCCTTGGCCACCCCTCTCTGCTTCGGCTCAGAGGCATGGCCTCCCGTCTTCCCCCCGGTCCCTCCCTCCCCTTCCTCAGGGCTCTGGCCCTGCCTGTGTCCCCTGTGTCGAGGGGCGCCAGCGTGCTGCCCCTCACTCCTCCCAGTTTCCTCCGACAGAGGCTCCGTTGCAGACGCTTCACATGGACGTGTGGGGCCCTGCCCGCGTCCGTGGACTCGGTCTCGAGCGCTACTTCTTGTTGGTGGTTGACGACTACTCGCATTTCACCACAGTCTTCCCCTTGCGCAGCAAGGGTGATGTCACTGAGGTGCTGATCGACTGGATCCGCGCAGCTCGTCTCCAGCTCAGGCAGAGCTTTGGCTCGGACTTCCCTGTCTTGCGTCTGCACTCGGACAGAGGCGGAGAGTTCTCCTCTCGCCTTCTGCGTGCCCACTGTCGTGCGCGAGGCATCCGCCAGACCTTCACGCTTCCGGACTCACCGCAGCAAAATGGGATTGCAGAGCGCCGCATTGGCATGGTCATGGATGTAGCTCGTACGTCTATGATGCATGCGGCTGCCCCCCATTTTCTGTGGCCGTTTGCTGTCAGGTACGCGGCGCATCAGATCAACCTTCACCCCAGGGTCTCCAGGCCGGAGACCTCCCCAGCCCTGCTGTGGACGGGGAAGGTTGGCGATGCGTCTGCGTTCCGTGTCTGGGGATCTCGGGCGTTTGTCCGCGACTTGTCTGCGGACAAGCTGTCCCCTCGCGCTGCTCCCTGCGTTTTCCTGGGGTTCCCCCCCGACGCCCCTGGGTGGCAGTTCTACCACCCCACCTCTCGCCGTGTTCTGTCCTCCCAGGACGTCACGTTCGACGAGTCGGTACCCTACTACCGCCTCTTCCCCTATCGCACTCCGTCCCTCCCCCCACCCCCGCTCTTCTTGGTACCAGGTCCCCCCCCGGTAGACCCCCTCCCCCCTCAGGGTCCTGCCCCTTCGGGTGTGTCCCAGGTAGACGCGGTCGAGCCTGTCGAGGTCACTGGTGACTCTGGTGCTGCTGTGGGTGCTGAGCCTGGGGGTGCTGTGCCCTGGGGAGCTGAGCCTGGGGGTGCGGGGTCTAGGGGTGCTGAGCCTGGGGGTGCTGAGCCTAGGGGTGCTGAGCCTGGGAGTGCTGAGTCTGGGGGTGCTGAGTCTGGGGGTGCTGAGCCTGGGGGTGCTGAGCCTGGGGGTGATACGCCTGGAGGTGCTTTGCCTGGGGGTGCTGCGCCTGGAGGTTCTTCGCCTGGAGGTTCTCCGGGTGCTTCGTCTCGCCGAGAGCCACTCTCCTCACAGGAGCTGCGTGAGTGGTTTGGTCGGCGCTGGAGGCGTGCTGCTGGTGCTGGAGGTTATTCTGCTGCTGAGGGTGCTGCTGCCGCGGGTCCCGGAGGTGCTCGTACTGGGAGTACTGGAGCTGCTGGGCCTGCGGGTTCGCCTGGAGCTGGTGCTGCTGAGGGTGTTGGCGCTGAGACTACCAGTGGTGGTTCGACTGGCGATGCTCCCGGTGCTGCTGGAGGTTCTGGGGCTACTGGAGGAGCTGCTGGGGGTTCTGGAGCTACTGGAGGTGCTGCTAGCGACACAGCGGCATCCTTCATTCAGCTCCCCAAACAGTCTCACCCCCCCTTGCACACACCCCCTACTGCACCCCTAGGGTCACTCACACCCCACCCCCTAGCACGACTCCAGCGACTCCCACACACCCACCCCCCTCAGCGGCAGCTGCAGCAGTGGGAGACGGAGGAGAAGGAGGAGGAGCAGGGGAGACCACACAACCGCCACCCCCATACTCGCCACCCCCTACTCGCCACTCCCCAAACCCTAACTTAGGCAGGGCGGGATGGTGGGTAGGGAGGTAACGGGGGAGGGGGAGGGGGGGGGGGGGGGGGGGGGGAACCGACGCGCGGCCGCCCAGGGCGCCAAGACAGGCAGCAGAAAGGGGGGGGGGGGGGGGGGGCGGCCCTCGCCCCCCTCCCCCAGGTAAGTCCTCGAGGGTCGCCTCGACAGGCGACGGGAAAAGGGGGGGGTCACACGCGGGGCCGGGACGGGCGGCGCACGGGCGGTGTGGGGTCGGGACAGCGGCACACGGGCGGCGACGGGCCGGGGCTGGCGGCGCACGGGCTGCGACGGGCCGGGGCTGCTGCGCGGGGCCCGGGCAGCGGCGCACGGGCGGTGTGGGGCCAGGACAGCGGCACACGGGCGGCAACGGGCCGGGGCTGGCGGCGCACGGGCTGCGACGGGCCGGGGCTGCTGCGCGGGGCCGGGGCAGCGGCGCACGGGCGGCGACGGGCCGGGGCAGCGGCGCACGGGCGTCGACGGGCCGGCGCGCGGGTCCGCGTCGCCCGTCGCAGCGCCTCCCGAGGGCGACGCGCCGAGCGACGAGGCAGAAGCCCGCCGCGCGCCTCGGGGCGCACGGCGGGAAGAAAAAAACTGCCGCACGCCACGGGGCGTGCGGCACAGAGAGTAGCAGTAGCAGTTGCAGCGGAAGCAACGAGGTGGTGGTAACCCACCCACAGGATCGATCCAAGAGGATCGACCTGCTCTGATAGCATGACAAAATTAGAAGAAAGAAAGAGGGATTGACTAGCAAGAATGGGGATACAAATAGCAAACCCTAACAGGGTTGTACTCGCTATAGAGCACCCCACTACAGGCTAGATGAGAACATTCTGACATGATTTTCTACACCTACACCTACATTATACTGCATTGCTAAGTTTCTAGACCAGCGTCTCAACCCAATTATAATACAATCACACTGCACACTCCACTGCTAAGAATCTGCACACTCTACGAGTAAGAAACAATTGTTACCCAGGAGAACTGAGTGTCAGATTTATATGACATAGCTACTGTAGGCTATAGTGGGGTAGCACATATGGGGTACAGCTTTCTAGGGTTTGTACTTGTACCCAACTTTCCTTAGTCATTTTTCATTCTCATTCTAAGTTTCTCATGGTATCGAGCAGGTTCCCTCGTGGGAACTGTGCCTAGGGCCCACCACATCGAATTTTTTTTTTTTCCTGACCGGAGCGCGCTCCCCGAGTCGCGCTCCTCTCTCTACCTTCGTCCAGCCGCCCTAGCGGCCTTCCTTGCGGCCCTGCCGCCCTCACTTGTGGCCCCGCCGCCCTCAC